AATACAAAGAAAATACAATGGGCTGCTTGTGTATAAGAGGTTTTCAAACTGTTCCTGGAGCCTCCCCAGCAGTATATTTCCTTTATTGGACACACCCAGCTGGGTTACGTCCAAGATGAGAGAGACTGCAAAATAAATCCTTTTTAAAAAGAAGGGGGAAAAAAATTCAATATGTTTGTGTTTCAAAAAATGCCAATGGAGTTGAGGCAAGCAGTATTTGGGATGTTATTGGTGTTTGTTGTTGGTTTATCTGAAGCAACCAGCACAAGGTTCACTGCAGCCTGAAACCAGGATGTCTCAAAGTTCTTCAAAATATGACCGTAACAGTTCTGTACTAGCAAAGGTTTGCAGTGCAAATGCCCATCAGGAGTGACTATGGAAAGTCTTCTCAAGATCTTTTGGGTGTTCAGTCAAAAGAGCTGTTGCTGGGTCCAGTGGCAAAACTGACGTGGAGTTTTCCAAGCCTACCAGAAGAACCACAGCAGCCAGATGTTCCTTTTGAGTTACGCTATCCTGTCCCTGCCAACAGTGTAGCGGCTCAATGCAGGGAGAATTCAATATATGTGAAAGTGTTGAAAGACTTCTTTGGCACTGGACAACTACTAATGCCCTCTGTTTTTACACTGGGAGGCTGTACCGCAACCGGAGAGGATCCTTCTGCTCAAGTGCTTATCTTTGAGTCAGAACTGCATGCATGTGACAGCACACTAATAGTGATGTTGTGGTTGTTTTATGTGTGTGCGTGTGTGTGTAGGTTTCTGTGAGCAACACTTACACTGATAACCCTTTAGGTGACTGAAAATGAGCTTGTCTATACGTTCTCCATTAGCTACACTCCACAAGAGGCTTCATATGGTGGTCCTATTATCAGGAGCAGTGGTGCAGTGGTTAGTATTGAGTGTTACTATCCAAGGTAAGGACTAAATTCAGGATTGTTAGGTATCCACATACCTTTAAATTCACCAGTTGTGGTGACTGCCTTGACACACACACTCACTCCTGTCCCACCCACTTTTAAAAACAAAGTTACGCCACTGGATATGCTGCCATAGTGTGCTAACTACTGTCTTTACAGGTCTACATCACATGCATTGTGAAGGTGGCTGCAGAATCCACCCCAACAAGTCCTGAGCAGAAAGCTTGTTCGTTCTCTGCTAATGAGTATGTAACCAAGACTCAAGATTTTGGCGTAAATGAGGCTGTGCAAGTAAGTATTGTTTGTTTGGCAGGTGGGTTTCTGCAGATGAATCTGACAAGGTGTGTGGCTGCTGCGACACAACCTGTAGCATCAGTGGCCTGTATAACGAAGCAGGTTTGGGTTTTTACCCAGGTAAGTTCACGTTTAGGTTAAAGGGGTCATATGATGCGATTTCAATTTTTCCTTTCTCTTTGGAGTGTTACAAGCTCTTGGTGCATAAAAAAGATCTAAAGTTGCAAAGACTAAAGTCTCAAATCCAAAGAGATATTCTTTATAAAAGTTAAGAATCAACCACGCCTACCTAAAACAGCTCATTCTAACACGCCCCCACATATCTACGTCACGATGTGGGAAGATTTGCATAATGCCTCCCAAATGTTCACGCAAAGAAAGACGGCGTAACTTTTATTCTCACTGTAGTATTGTTATTGCCGCCATGTCGTGAAGTGTGTTTGTGTTCTGTATGTTTCGTTGTGAAAGCGAAACTACTTTGTTTGACCTTCCAAAAGAGGACGATATTCGCTTCGTCATGCCTGGAGCTGATCTGTGCTGGTCGCTGAGGAAATACATCAACTTCGCGCTGTGGATCGCCGGATCGGCTTTCACCGTAGACAAAGCATTTTATGGAGGACTGTTTCCTGATCCTGGAAGAGTAGACTACAATGCAGGCTGTTCTGACTCACAGACTGTAAGTACGTTTTCATTTTAAAGGGGGGGTACAATGCTGTGTCATGCATTCAGAGTTGTTTACACTGTTAAAGCAGCACTATGTAACTTTTGGCGCTCTAGTGGTTAATAAACAGAACTGCACACATCCCGGATACAGTTTGTTTTTCCGGGGCAGCAACAGAGTTTTACAAGTGTGTTTGTGAACGAACGTTTTATAAACTAGGCCCAGTTCGATGCTGGATTTGCACATCGTTTGATACTGAAAGATGGAGCGGTCCCAACGATAAAAGATTTCGGTCATGATTCAGAACTGCAGACGGTAAGTGAAACCGCATCAAATGTCTGTTTTGTTGGCATTCGGCGCTCAAGTGCTCGTCACTCTTTAGCTCCACCCACGGCGTGCCTCTAGGAGCTCGGCTTTTTCCGGAGAGAATCGTAAAGCTGTAAATTTCTTTTATAAATATGATAAAACTAAATACTTTTTGGAGATATGAAGGATGCAGTACTACTCTATAGGTACTCAAGATTAACATGAGATTGGGTGAAACTGTGTGTGTTATGCCCCCTTTAAGGATTTGCCACAGATGATTCAAACGTGAGTTTTGAGCAGTGTAGAGTAGCGCTTGTTGTTTGTCATTTCTCCGATTACAAATTAACATGGTTTTATGTTTACGCGGCGCAATGCAACGCGAAAAAAAGACAGTATAAGTCATTATAATCCGTAATTATGTCCCCACTGGATGCAACAAATGCCTCGTTTATAATGGGTTTTAATGTTTTTGTCTCATCACTCCGGCCGGACACGGCATCACAATATGGGAAGGGGCATAACATTTCCATCACACACTTGAGGTATTCGGCCAATAACAACACACTGGATAGCTGGCCAATCAGAGCAAACCTAGCTTTTCAAACCGATGAGCTTTGTAAAAATCGACGCGTTTCAGAAAGGCGGGGCATAGAGGAGAAACAATAATGTACAGTATGTGGAAAATAATGTGTTTTTTTAACCTTAAACCGCATAAACATTTAATTACACCAAATACACCAAATAATGTTCTTTTTAGCAACATCGTATGACCCCTTTAAGCAAACTCTGAGTTTTCGGGCTCAGGAAGATGGGTTGGTTTTGAGCGGGTTTCGTCACCATGGTAACTTATGCTACACAGCTACCCTGCTCCGGAGCAGGTTTTATTCTGGGTTAGGGACTGCAAACCCAAACTGGACCAATCAGCTGTGAGCAAAGTGACATATCTGATGCAATGAAGCCACTCCCTTGTATCTCTCGCTCCAAATTAAAGCAGTTTACAGTAAAATAATTTTTGAGACAAAATTGCCAGACTTTTGCAGCTACTTTATATTATATTCATATTATATTGACTGTAATTGTCTATAATTCATATAATATATTCGATAAGTTTATATTAGATAAGCTTTAATATATCCAACTTTTAAACTGACTAAACTTATGTTTTCCTTTTGAGCTCTGTGTGAAACTATATATCCTATAAATAATTAAATTCAGTTGATTCCTTTTCATCATCATATTTTCTTTCTGCTGCCAAACTTTTGCTGCAGCAGAAGTGTTTATTCCTGCCTTGTTAATGCATTTAAATGTATTACATTTTTAATAACGACATCTCTTAATCTTCAGCAGAAAGGTGAATTGCACTGACATTGCACTGACTCTCACAAGAAATGAATCAAACTGACGCTTTGCTGATGCTCTCCATGTTCCTTGTGATTGGTTGTTTGCTGCACCTGTCATGCTTTCAGGTGCACGCTCTGGTTCAAACTCTGAGTTTTCAGAGAACGTTTATATCGAGCTTTGTGAGCCCGCTGATCCTGATCTAAATCAGGTTGGCTTTACTGGGTTTTGTCAACTAAAAACTTACTCTGCAACTCAGAGTTTGTTCATCTCGTTTTGTGCTACAGGCAACTGAAGTGGAGGTGATCAGCTTCTTACAGGTATAAACTAAGACCCCAATTATTATTATTATTATTATGTAAGATGCTTTCTCACAATGTCTTTGTTCTTCAGATCTATGTTGGGAGAGAGCCTCTGTTGGGCCTATCAGTGTTAAGGAAAATAGCTATGGCCAAACTTAACTGAATAGCTGTGTGGTCCTGTGGAAGTTGAGAATAAAGTGTTTAAAACAATCATCTGGCCATTTACTGTTTTTTGTGTGTGTGTGTTTTTTTTGACAAAGTGCAGTAGTGAACTATTTCAGCACTGAGGGTTTGTGCACAATGCATTAATTTTTTTGCAGGCAATGACAAAGCGCACTGAAGCCCATTTCTCAACATACATTTGCAATCTAGTCTTAAGTAACAATATATAGTGCAAATTGCTCTGTAACTGAATGTCAGACATCTGTGTTCATTCTTGTTAATGCTATCAGTTACTAAATCCTGATTATATATTCTACCATTTGGAGGCTGAGTGTACTGTAGGTTAGTTAACGTTTGAATTGTAAATATGGTTAATCTATGTAATTTAATTCATGACAAGTCAGTTGTTTTATAATGTATGGTAAATATTCTTATATGTAATGGTATGATTTTATATAATGTGCCTTAAGCATACAATTTCTAATATATCTGTGTGTTCCAACATTGAGCATTTGAATAGCGATGCTATGTATATACATATGATCATTGCATCCAGTGACTGAATTTTTTTTCCTGAATGCAACATGAATGATTCATTAAAATTAGAAACACACTGCAAAATTGTATTGAAACAATAATTTGATTTTTAATAGTTTGTAACTTATTTACTTCTGTGGGGAGAATAACATGGCTTGAAGAATGACATTTTTTGTATTTTAGTATGTTTAGTATATTATATTAGGTGTTCATAATGTGAATTAAAGTGCACAATAATGAATTAGTTTGTAATATTTCTTTAGGCAAGTTGAGTCTAAAGTTTTGACTTAAATCGCTATGATTATATTAATCAAAGTTGTTTATAAATGTAATTTAAGAACACAAAACACTCACATTTTCCTTTAATTGATGATGACTCAATGATTTTCACCTGTGATATGATGTGTAAGTAAGCTAACAAGTCCAGGCAACGATTATGCTTGATGCTAGAGAGGTGGAACCAAGCTTATCTAACTACTATACATAAAGGAAACAATCAAGGATCAGCTTTAAGGATCTGAAGGCTTTTGACTATGGGGCTGAGGCACATTTGTGTTGGATTGGTGTTTATTCTTGCGGTTTGCTTGTCTGAAGCACAATGGCAAAGAAGATCAACACCTAATCAGTCCTCAGTCCCTAAACGGTTTGAAAACAGGATCCCTCAGGTTCCCCAGAGATTTGACCCCAGTAATCCTGTATTTGCCAACCAAAGATTTTCTGCTCCTTTTCCTGTCCAGACGCCAGCCAGGAGTGACCTTGGAAAGCCTTCTCAAGATCTTTTGGGTGTTCAGTCAAAAGAACTGCTGATGGGTCCAGTGCAAAAACTGACATGGCGTTTTCCAAGCCTACCAGAAGAACCACAGCAGCCAGATGTTCCATTTGATTTGCGCTTTCCTGTCCCTGCCAACAGTGTAGCGGCTCGGTGTGCTGAAAACTCCGTATATGTGGAGGTGATGCAAGACTTCTTTGGGAATGGGAAGCCACTGAGGTCATCTGGTTTTACACTGGGAGGCTGTACTGCAGCTGGAGGAGACACTTCTGCTCAAGTGCTCATCTTTGAGTCAGAACTGCATGGATGTGGTAGTACACTAAAGGTGAGGATTCACCTTTTTCCTTTCATATAACCATTTATGGTTGTGAATGGTTTCTCTAACCAACATGCTTCTGTTCCTTTTAGGTGACTGAAGATGAGCTTGTCTATATGTTCAAACTTGTGTATGCCCCACAAGCGGTTTCATATGGTGTTCCTATTGTTAGGAGCAGCAGTGTGGTGGTTGGCATCGAGTGTCACTATTCAAGGTGAGGGCAGAATTCAAGGTTACTGGATGTACTAAACTCCCATATAATGATTGTCTATCTAACTCCTCTGCAGAAAGCATAATGTGAGTAGCGATGCCTTAATGCCCACTTGGATCCCATATGCCACTTCTGAAGTTGCAGAGGAGATCTTTGTTTTCTCCCTCAGGCTCATGACTGGTTGGTATTACAAACTGTTTCATAACACACCAGTGCTTGTGCACTTGTGCTAAAAGGCGTCTTTGCAGATGACTGGCGATTCGAGAGACCTTCAAACCAGTACTTCCTGGGTGATATCATAAACTTTGAGGCGTCTGTGCAGTCATACAGCCATGTTCCCATCCGTGTATTTGTGGACAGCTGTGTGGCTACAACAGTCCCTGATGTTGCGTCTGTCCCCAGATACTCCTTTATCGAGAACAATGGGTAAGTGGTGCACCTCATGAATCCCACTCTCTGCAAGTACTGCAAGAGGTCTAACTGGGTTCCTTTCCCAGGTGCCTGGTTGATGCCAAGCTCACAGGCTCCAGGTCTCGCTTTATGCCCCGAAGTCAAGGTGATAAGCTGCAGTTTCAGCTGGAGGCATTCAGGTTCCATCAAGCAGACAATGGACTGGTATGTGACAAGCTGTGCAACACTTTGTAAAATATGCTACCATGGTCTAAAAAAAACAACAACTGTCTTTTGCAGGTCTACATCACATGCATTTTGAAAGTGGCTGCAGCAACTACTCCAATAAGTCCTGAACAGAAAGCTTGTTCGTTCTCTGCTAATGGGTATGTTTCTAATAAAATGAGTATAGTTGACTTGGGGATTGGCTTAACTTGAGGGTTTGTTTTGTCAGGTGGGTGTCCGCAGATGATTCTCACCAGGTGTGTGGCTGCTGTGACACCACCTGTAGTACCAGAAGTGGAAGTGATCCGATTCTTAAAGGTCTGGATCTATTTTTATAATTGCGCTCCCTCTACTTGCACTGCTTTTCTCACTGCTTGTTTGTTTCTCAGATCTGCGGTGGGATAGAGCATCTGTTGGACCCATTAATGTTAAGGAACATGGCTATGGCCGAAAATAACTGGAAATGCCATGTGACTTCTGTAAATTAAATAAAAGAATTTAGTCTTAATGGGTTTTGAGGTCCAAGTCTGTATCCTGTTCTCCAGTGTGAACCACTAACTCCCTGTAACCTACCCACCTATAATTCCCATAACCTAGCAATTTGGGGGATAAATGTCTAATGCTGTTGACCTCTTGTAAATGGTGCCTTAAGTGGCAACCACATCCTTTGTTGCGTACTGGATAAGGACCTATCTGGAATGCAATGAAAAGTGAGCACTGCATCAGTGTATGATGGCAACTGGTTTTCCATTAAGTGTCTTCACCGCTGCGTAATGTTTCATCTAAACATGCATGCTTATGTCTTTACTGTTTGCCATCAAATGCAAGGCCCTGATACTTGCAGACAAAGTCACTGGATACATGTGAAAGGCTACCATGTAAGATCACGCTAGCAAGCCCTAACTGGATTGGCTGAAAATATGTACCTTTTTAGTGTTAAACGGTGTTTTTATCAATTTAAAGTTGTGCTCACAGGCTAACACCATGTGCAATAAGAGTCAAGTTTTTCTGGTGTGAGGTGATTCGTACTTATTACGTTCAGACAAATTTTGAATCTCTTTTGCTCTCTACAGTCAGCCATTAATTTGAAAACAGCTGATTCAAATTCCCTACCTGGTATTTGAAGCTTTTTATTTTTATTTTTTATAATGAAACCGGAGATCTGTTCCTTTTGAAAGGTAATTCCACCAACTTTGAAGACAAGGTAAAAGTAATCCATTGTCACAGATCTGGTTTGTGGCTTTCTATCAATTGCCACCAGAGGTCGCCCTTCCATCACATTGACACTACACAAACTGTTTCCTGTTACCTTGGACTACATTTCTCATCTGCCATTGCACTAATCACACACTCACCTGAAACCAATCACACACCCTACATAAGCCCTGGACTTCCTCTCTCTCACTGCCAAGTACTGTTTAGCGCTTATCGCTCACCTAGTGATCGCTACATTATGAAGCCAGTTCTCTGTTAGTTTATAGTTCGAGTTTCCATAGTCTAGTCATAGTCTTGCCTTGCCTGTTTTCTCGTGTTCTGATTCTTGCCTGTGTATCCTGGATTAGTGATGGGCAAAAGAACCACTGAATCTTTCCTCTGACTGTTTCGGGAAAAGATTCAAAGCTTTGTGTGTCAAAAATAGTGCCATCTGGTGGTCAATAAAAAATATAGCAGCCAAAAGCCTGTGAAAATAGTGTTTGTTAAAATTCTCTGATAAAATAATTTACCCATTAAACTGTAGCATTAATACCAATATCTATGTGAATGAAATGTACACACGTGATTACGTGATTCTCTGAAAACAATACACGCACAGAGCTTCGTGAGAAATTGCGCTGCTTACCCGATATGTGCTTTGAAGCTTCAGTGTCATATGTAACCTCACAATCCTGGATTACCCCTCTCGTCTCACCTGTTCGGATCTGATTGACCAAAGCCTGTGTTTCGGATTAACCCTTTGGATTACCCTGTTTGGACATTGTTCGCTGGAGATCGACCACGCCCGTTCACTGGACTACTCTTGTGTCTTGCCCACTATATACCTGTTTGCCATTGTCTGACCCTCGCCTGTTTTGACCACGTCTTTAAAATCAAGCTTTGCAAATAGATCCGCACATCTCTCGTTCCTGTTGCCCCGTAACATCCATATCAATGTGTTTTTTCCCCCCCTGGGGAGTTAAAGCCTAAATTAAATCTGTTTGCAACAATATGAGGGTGGGTGAATTTCTCTGATAAAATAATTTACCCATTAAACTGTAGCATTAATACCAATATCTATGTGAATGAAATGTACACACGTGATTACGTGATTCTCTGAAAACAATACACGCACAGAGCTTCGTGAGAAATTGCGCTGCTTACCCGATATGTGCTTTGAAGCTTCAGTGTCATATGTAACCTCACAATCCTGGATTACCCCTCTCGTCTCACCTGTTCGGATCTGATTGACCAAAGCCTGTGTTTCGGATTAACCCTTTGGATTACCCTGTTTGGACATTGTTCGCTGGAGATCGACCACGCCCGTTCACTGGACTACTCTTGTGTCTTGCCCACTATATACCTGTTTGCCATTGTCTGACCCTCGCCTGTTTTGACCACGTCTTTAAAATCAAGCTTTGCAAATAGATCCGCACATCTCTCGTTCCTGTTGCCCCGTAACATCCATATCAATGTGTTTTTCCCCCCCTGGGGAGTTAAAGCCTAAATTAAATCTGTTTGCAACAATATGAGGGTGGGTGAAATTTTTTTTTTTTTTTAACTATTCCTTTAAGATTGTGATGCACTTGTCTCATTTAAACTTGAACTGTTTTATCCAGAATACCAAGTGAGATCCATTGCCAGCCATGTCAGACCTGATCGACAGTAAGTCTCATATTTATATCACATATTTATATTAATGTGCTGCTTTAAAGCATTTCTGCATTCCAGCTTTAATCCAGTCTAGTGCATTTATTGTACTTAAAGGGGTCATATGATGCAATTAAAATTTTTCCTTTCTCTTTGGAGTGTTACAAGCTCTTGGTGCATAAAGAAGATCTGTAAAGTTGCAAAGACTAAAGTCTCAAATCCAAAGAGATATTCTTTATAAAAGTTAAGAGTCAACCACGCCTACTTAAAATGGCTCGTTCTAACACGCCCCCACATGTCTACGTCACGATGTGGGAAGATTTGCATAAATGTTCACGCAAAGAAAAAAGGTGTAACTTATTCTCGCTGTAGTATTGTTGCCGCCTCCATGTCGTGAAGGCGCTGTGTGTTTCATTGTGAAAGCGAAACTACTTTGTTTGGCCTTCCAAAAGAGGACGATATCGGCTTCGTCATGCCTGGAGCTGATCCGTGCTGGTCGCTGAGGGAATACATCAGCTTGACGCTGTGGATAGCCGGATCAGCTTTCACCGTGGATGAAGCGGAGTCCAGCCCGGGGTCGTCACATGTGGTTGCCGCAAGCCCGCCTGCCGCGCTGTTCTCAAGCCTACCAGCCACCACTCACTTAAGCCGGTCTCCGCTCACTCTAGGCCGCCGCTCACTCTAGCCTCTGGCTTCTGCTCACTCTAGCCCACCGTGTGTGACACTGTGTTTTGTTGTGAAAGCGAAACTACTTTGTTTGGCCTTCCAAAAGAGGACATGACTAGAAATCAGTGTTTAAGTTGTATTTACAACACTGTTCCAGAACAGATCAACCCAAGATAATTTGCGATTTATAAATGTCACATCTGGAAGAGAGGCGTACGCACGTGTTTTTGTGCGCACTTTAGTTTTCTCAGAATCGCACTTATGCACTTTTGAGAAATGATTAGAACAAATTTAGGATGATTTATATGCAACATTTTATAAATGAGGCCCCTGATGTATAAAACTTTATGTAGATTTCATCCCAAATGTGTGCGTACGCACAAAAGCTAGATTTTGCGTACGTACAAACGTTTTCAGATACAGTGGGTACGGAAAGTATTCAGACCCCCTTAAATTTTTCACTCTTTGTTATATTGCAGCCATTTGCTAAAATCATTTAAGTTAATTTTTTTCCCTCATTAATGTACACACAGCACCCCATATTGACAGAAAAACACAGAATTGTTGACATTTTTGCAGATTTATTAAAAAAGAAAAACTGAAATATCACATGGTCCTAAGTATTCAGACCCTTTGCTCAGTATTTAGTAGAAGCACCCTTTTGATCGAATACAGCCATGAGTCTTTTTGGGAAAGACCCAACAAGT